GGGCAGTGGCCACCCAGGAGGGGCGAGCGGAGGGAGAGGCTGCCGCCCACACTGTCCCGTGTGTTCCCGCAGGGGCGCCCTACTGGACCAGCACGGAGAAGATGGAGAAGCGGCTGCACGCTGTGCCCGCCGCCAACACGGTCAAGTTCCGCTGCCCGGCCAGCGGGAACCCCACGCCCACCATGCGGTGGCTGAAGAACGGGAAGGAGTTCAGGCAGGAGCACCGCATCGGAGGGTATAAGGTACGACGTGCTCCCCACATCGGGGGGTCTCGCGCTGTTTTTAATTATTCGTTTTGTGAGGCGCCGGGCGGTCACGGGAACGGGCAGGAACGGGAACTGGCTGGCGCCATCGTCCCGGGTCGTTTCCGTGTTTGCCGGCCGCGAGCGATTCCGAAGGGCGGCCCCGTTCGCCCTGTGCTCACGGGAAGCGAGTGTAGCAGCAGAAGGGTCGAAAGCTGAGAGTCTGTTTCCTATACGCTTTATGGTCTATAAAACCCAGACTGCGGCCGACGCTCAGCGCGTAAAAACGGGGCACAGGCCCGGGTTGTGGGCTCGATCCCCAGTGTGGGGCGTGCAGGAGGCAGCCGGTCCGTGATTCTCTCTCATCACTGATGTCTCTCTCTCCCCCTCTCCCTGCCTCCCTGGCATCAACAAAAACATACATTTAAAAGAAAGAATGTGTCGTACGGGGAAGACCTCAGGAACCCTCCTGTGAAATTCTCTGGTGCACTCGGGACAGGGAGACTGGAGGGTCCCAGCTGAGTCTGGAGGAAGGGTAGCTCAGAGTGAGCGATGCAGCATCTCCAATTATTCCGTATGGAGAGGGAGGACTTTCAAATGTATGGTGCCCGGCTGGCGTGGCTCAGGGGCTGAACATCGACCTAGGAACCAGGAGGTCACGGTTGATTCCCGGTTGTGTGTACAGTGAGTCTCGCCCCTTGCTCCCCGGGGTGCAAGGGACAGCCATCCCTGGAAGGTGCCGGTGGGGCCACCAGGCCTCGGCCCATCCGTTCAGCGAATGGTGCCTGAGCGCCATCCCGGGCGCCGAGTGACGCTCAGGCCCAGCTCGCGGGGACTCCTGGTCAGAGGCTCGCGGCCCTGCAGGGAGGCGTGATGTCGGCTCTTGGGGAGACTCGGGACAGGGAGACTGGAGGGTCCCAGCTGAGTCTGGAGGAAGGGTAGCTCAGAGTGAGCGATGCAGAATCTCCAAGTTATTCCGTATGGACAGGGAGGACTTTCAAATGTATGGTGCCCGGCTGGCGTGGCTCAGGGGCTGAACATCGACCTAGGAACCAGGAGGTCACGGTTTGATTCCCGGTCAGGGCACAGGCCCGGGTTGCGGGCTCGATCCCCAGTGTGGGGCGTGCAGGAGGCCGCCGATCCGTGATTCTCTCTCATCACTGATGTCTCTCTCCCCCTCTCCCTGCCTCCCTGGCATCAACAAAAACATACATTTAAAAGAAAGAATGTGTCGTACGGGGAAGACCTCAGGAACCCTCCTGTGAAATTCTCTGGTGCATTTGGAACCGGAGGGTGTATCCGTCACCTGCTGCTGTGTAACAAGTCACCCCGGACATGGCGGCTGTAAACAGTGACGTTGATCGTCTCCCACGTCCCTGGTCGGGAATCCGGTGCCCTCCCCAGGGCCTCCGGCACCGAGGCCTCCCAGGGACTGAAGGGCGTGTCTGTTCAGGCTGGGCCTCATGGTCGGGCCACCGGGGGTCGGAGAGGACCTGCCTCCAGACCCCCGTGTGGTGGTGGTCGGGGTCCCTCCCTGCAGGTGTCGGCGCGGGGACCTCGGCTCCACCCTCAGCTCTGTGCTCGTGGGCCCGGCGCGTGGCGGCTGTGTTTCGGGGGGTGAGCAGGCAGCCAGGGCGAGAGTGAGGGGAGGGGAAGCCACGGCCTGAGGACCCATCAGGGAGGCGAGTCCCTGGGGGAGGAGATGGCCCCGCCCGGGACCCGCACGGAGGGCGGCATCGAGGGTCCTGGTGGGAGAGAACCGGGCAGAGGGCGCTGGTCTCCTCGCACCTGTGTTCAACCAGCCGCCATCCCCTGAGCTGCCGTGGTCACAGGGCCTCTCTCCGCCCAGAGTCCCTGCAGCCCTTCCCAGAGCCGTCACACGGTCACTCAGCTCTAAAGCACTGTTTCCGTCTGCAGACATTTTTGACCTTTGTTTTAACCTTGAAAAATTAATATCCAGCCCGACTGGCGTGGCTCAGTGGCTGAGCGTCGACCTAGGAACCAGGAGGTCTCGGTTCGATTCCTGGCCAGGCACAGGCCGGGGTTGTGTCCTGTGGGACGGGGCGTGCTGGCTGGCAGGGCTGGGCCTTCTCTCGGGAGCAGAGGCTGTGGCTGGCGGGGTGAGCGGTCTGGGGGTCTCCCCGTCGAAGGCAGAGGCAGTCGGCCTGCTGGGGCTTCGCCACAGAGGACGTTCCGCCTGGGGGAGCGGGAAACAGACCTCACGGAGCCCAGGAGGCTGCTGGGACTTGCAAGGGGGAGACAGAGACCTCCATCTCCTGGGGAACGTGGTCCCCGAGAGTATGAGCCCCCCTCGCGGTTAGACCCGCCCCAGGCCTGTGCCCGTCCGGGAGGGAGGCCGTGACGCCCGAGATCGATGCAAATATCTGTTTCTCTAAAAGCGAGAAGGTCGATGGGTCGTCGTGAACATGGGTCCCTCCAGCCTGGAAACAGACCTTGAGCATCACCTCCACGGAGGCTCCCTTCATCGGCTGATATTTCATGGACCCAGAACAGTTATTACACTTTAATGCGGCTGAGCCAGTGGCGCCCGAGGTCATTGACAGACGGCTCCGTCCCCAGCTCATTCCTGGGCGACGCTCAGGCACCGAGGGCAAGGGCGTCCTCAGAATCATCGCTCACGCCACACGCTCGCCGCACGAGAACGAGAGAGGCCACAGGACGCCGCCTCCGGGGAAAAGACAACATAAAAACACCATTTTCTTTTTTTAAAGGTTTTCTAATGGGCTTTTCTAGAGAGAGAGGAAGGCAGAGGGGCAGAGAGAAACATCTACGTGAGAAACATCCATCGCTGCCCCCACTCACCCTCCTCCAGGGCCCGAGCCGCACCTGGGCCTGCGCCCTGATGGCATCAGCCGCTGAGCCACACCCGCCGGGCAGGTCTTGAGATTCTCAGAGTTAAATTCAAAAGGCAGTGGGTGCCCGGCTGGCACTCTGCCCCCGGTTCCTCCCCGAGCATCTGCAGGGCACGCCCGCGTCCTGGGAGATCGGGGCTGGGAGCGGAACGGAGGGCAGCTCTCGCGCCCCGAGGACCCGGCTCTCCCAGCCCTGCTCCGTGGGCACCTCCTGCAAAGCAAACGTCTTGGTGTTTAAGGTTAAACGGGTGTTGGCTCCCATCTGCAGCCGTAAATGCCCAGCCCTTGACACGTGTCACCCCGTTCACTTACACGTGTCCCGGAGGGGTGGCCTGGGGCCCCCGGGGGCGTGGCCCGGGCCGTGAGAGTTCGTGCGTCCTGGCAGCACTTGGTCTGTGCTGAGTTGCGGTTCGTGGGCGCCGTGGTGATGGCCAAGGTTGAGGGGGGCTGTCCCCTGTGCGTCGGCCGGTGGTGGCGGGGAGTCGGGCGTGTTTGTTGGCACAGCCGCTTGGCGCGCAGCCTGCGTGCCTCCCGGCTCCTGCGTGTTTGCCTCTGCTTATCGCACACCTGGCTGTTGGGAAATGTCTGGGCTTTTTGTGCCACGAGGAAGCCAAACTTTGACCTTTCACCTTTGTGTTTTGGTGTCATCATCCTAAACAAAACCCACATTCCCAGTTGTCCCCTGGAGGTAGCTGGGGGAGGGGGTGACGGGCACCCGGGAGGATAGCGGTGATGAGGATTCCGAGAAACCTGTCTGAGCCGCCTCTGGTCTCCGTGGCGACGGGTGTGGGGTGCTTGGGGAATCCGGTTTCTGTCTCGCAGGCGAGGGTTCGGGCCACGCGCTCCGGTCGGCTTTGTTTGGCCTCGAAGTGTCAGTCCTGAGAGCCTGGAACTAGCAGGTTCTGCAGCCCCATGCGCTCCGTCTCTCCTGCAGATGAACCGCAGGGAACGATTCCACGGAGATTGGGCCACGGGCAGGGGCGGAGGGAGGCGCACGTGTTGGCTGCTGCAGGGTCCCTCGTCCCTGTGGCTCGAGTTTCTGCCAGGGCGACAGGTCTGCAGGACAGTCATGCAGGCGAGGGAGGCAGGGGAGCCTGGGGGCAGGGGAGGCCCGAGAAGCTGGTTCACGTCACTTATTTTCGGGGTGTGTGTGTGCACGTGTGCGCGCAAGAAAAGTGAAGAGGAGAAGAAAGTACATATTTGTGACCCCACCGCTTCGTTATATAAAGCGTGCTGCTAACCATTTAGTACCTTTTCTTCCTGGTTTTAGCCGTGTGTACACGGCCGTGCGCATGGATCCAGGCCTCTGTGCACCCGTGGGGGACGGCTGTTCTTCAAGGGAAACGTAGTAATTGACGAAAGCTGAGGAACAAGAAACGGAGTCGAGCTGTGGCCCCGACCGTCCCCACGCCTCTGAAGGGAGCCGGGACCGCACACGTCACTTATTTTTGGGGTGTGTGCGTGCATGTGTGCGCGCAAGATTCCTGTTTAAATTTGAAAAGTGAAGAGGAGAAGAAAGTACATATTTGTGACCCCACCGCTTCGTTATATAAAGCGTGCTGCTAACCATTTAGTACCTTTTCTTCCTGGTTTCAGCCGTGTGTATACGGCCGTGCGCATGGATCCAGGCCTCTGCGCACCCGTGGGGCTGTGCACGCGTGTAACTTGACACAGGGGGTCGTGAGTGTTCATGTTTGTATTCAGCCACTGGTTTTCCATTTATCAATAACTTGATATATTGCCAGGTGGGAACATACGAATGCCTCATTTAAAAAAATATATTTTGTATTGATTTCAGGGAAGAGCAGAGAGGAAGGGAGAGAGACAGAAACATCAGTGATGAGAGAGAATCACGGATTGGCTGCCTCCTGCACGCCCCACACTGGGGGTGGAGCCCGCAACCCGGGCCTGTGCCCGGACCTGGTTCATAGGTCGGCGCTCACCACTGAGCCACGCTGGCCGGGCACAAAGGCCTCGTCTTTGATGACGGTTTGCCGTGGAGCTGGAACGAGCTGCACATTCGTTCTCATGGGACGGACTAGACCTTGTGCAGGGCCTTCTGGATGGTCCTGGTTTTGCTGCTACAAACGCTGCTGGAATCCACAGTCTCGCTCACGCGCCTGGAGCCGCCCGCGGCTTCCTGTGGCGGCTGGATTTCTGGCGTAGAATGAACTGGATCGAAAAAAATGCTGTCGATTTTGGTGGGCACCACCCACTGACCCCGGCGAGGCTCCCCGAGTGCCCCACTCCTGTTGGAGTCTCCTTCTCAGCGAGCGCTCCTGTGCGATCGGCCTGCACTTGGCTAATCACGGTGAATAGCAGCCTCATTATTGCTCTTGTTTGCATGTCCCGGGTGTTAATGAGCTCAGCAGCTCCTCACGGGCTCCTCGGGGCCTGCACCTCGTCCTCCGTGCGCGAAGCCGCTGTGCCCGCCTGGGCCCAAACTGGCAGGAAAACCAGAAAGCTGGGGCTTCAGACAGACACGGTGGTGAGGAGCGTACATTTTTGTTGGAACGGTGGCTGCACTGAATTGGGGTGTGGAAACAGAATATTGAAAAAACAGCACAGCCCTGGCCGGTGCGGCTCAGTGGAGAGAGTTGGCCTGCAGACTGAAGGGTCCTGGGTTCGATTCCGGTCAAGGGCCCGTCCTTGGTTGCAGGCTCGATCCCTGGCCCTGGTCGGGGTGCGTACAGGAGGCAGCCAACCAATGTGTCTCTCGTATCGATGTTTCTCTGTCTCCTGCCTCCCCTGGACTCTAAAAATCAATGGAAAAATGTCCTTGAGTGAATTAACAACCAAAAACAAAACCCCCAAAACCCCCACAAAACCCCCCCCCAAATCCGTG